TACCGGTGATAGTTCTTGCAAACCCACTGCCCCGGGTTCTTGTCTGGATGTGTCTCGCTCAATCCGGTGATGTCGATGAACAGGCCGTTGCGCAGGTCGATCCATCGCGCATCAATAATGTTCATGCCATCGCCACGCTCGCGCTCCCAGATCCACGGGTTGACGTCGAGGAGGTATTCGCGCTGGACGGCGCCGTCGTAGGAAGTGTAGTGGTATCGAGTCTGGTTGTGTACCGCGCCGAGGTGTTGGAGTGTGCTGTCGGACACCTGAGTGTCGAGATCGAAGTCCCATGGAAGACGCTGCAGAAGCGTTAGCACGTATCGCAAACAGCTGGAAGCAAGACTCACCTTTCCATTCCACCACCAACCGAGCAATGTCCCGTGTGCTATCCAGGTATCGAGTTCGTTTTCGCGGAAGAAGTTCAGGTAAGCGCGGACCATGTGCGATTGCGTGTCCGTTCGCTCCTCGTCGGAGACGATGCCCTTGAAAAAGCGCTTGTCATAGTGGCCGAGCGTAATACTGCCTCTAGAGGGGTGTCAGCGAACACGCTACAAGCTGCAATGACATCGCGAGTTGCAAGGCTATGATGACTTACCCGGGCTCATGAAAGTACTTGGTATCAGGCTTCTTCTTACCTTTCCTGCTTTCAATACGATCGGCCAAGTTGTCTCCTCCTTGATGTCGGTTGAGTGGCGTCGGTGTGGCTAGTGAAGAGGCGAAGAGTGTCGCGGTTGCAAAGGCGGCAGCGCATTTCAGTAACCGCATGGCTGAGGCGAGGACTCCACTTCAGGCTTCCAATCCAGATAGGTATACCGTCTCAAAGACAACGAGACGAAAGGGCGCCAACAGTAACGAAGACTTGCCGTATGATGTTATTATGATCGTCCAAAACTCCTGGGTAGAACCGAGCAATGGTAAGCGCAGCGTTTCGGGAAGGTGATCGCGTGCTCAGAGTTCAGTGATCGACAGCCGTGGGGCAGGGAAGGCGCGTATAACGTCAGTGAAGAAGAAGCAATCGCAGGCGGGACAGAGAAGATAAGAGAAGCGCAATGGGGGCCAACCATGGGGTCACAGCGTGCGGGAGGGGAGTCAAAAGGCTTCATGACGCGCACGCGACAGGTTGCCAGCCTGAGCCTGTGCCTGGTGCCGCCCACTTGCTCCTCCACAGTAGCCTTGTGCTACGTAAACTCATTCGCGCTCCCATTCCCCTTGCTGGTTACAGGTGTGCCGCTTTTCCGGGGTATCATGGGTATCTGGCGAGCTTGACAGGCGTCGTCGTCCAGTGACACGCGGCGTTGCGTGGTTAAGCTTTCCAAGATTTGGCTTTGGGCGGGTTTCGGATGGCGGCTGCAGTTTGCCGGCCGTTGTCGCCGTTGGTATGGCGTGGCGGCGGCAGCTGTGGCTGGTGAGTCCTTGCGTCGAACAAATTACATGGCCTGACGTCTCCATTTCGCGAAGATCCTTCGTCACTGTCCTTCCTGAGAACTGAAGCCGTCGTGCAGGACCTACGTATGCCAATAACGAAGTCGCATGCGCAGTTACTGAAAGCGGCAAAGCATTTTTCGCTAGGCGCATTCACGCAGGTGGCCTCGTCAGCATATGCGCTTTAAATACGATTGTACGAATCCTGCGCGAACTACCTGCAGACATGGGGTAAACATAGTTCCCTAGGCTCGTACATTGTTCCACCAACGCGTACATGTTTGACGCCACAGTTTCGTGGGCGCGTACAATCTCCCCAGGTGCGAGGATACATGGTCCGGAAGTACGGTTCGCCAATCTGCTTCCCCCGAAATGCAAGGCTGCGGTACGATGTAAATTGAGATGACACACGGACCATCCTGTATGACTATAATAGCAGACTGTGCCGCTCGGACTAGGCTATGGTTATACGTACATCGTCATACTCACAGTCACTTGCAATATGGTTGAGCACACGATGACAGACTATGCACGCATGTGTAGTATTACATTTCCAGACTTTTCGCTATGCCTACAGCAACTCGCTGACCCTTGAGCAAACGCTGGACCCATTCGAACCTTTGTACGCCGTGAGATTGTATAACATCCGTCTATGAGACGTCCATCGCTTCCGCGCCGTTGGGGATCGCAAAGGAGACGGCGCCCGCATCGCCGATCAAACGCTGTTCCGAGTCGGAGACGAACTATTCGTGGTATTAGCAAGGTTTGATAGGTCGTAGTATGAGAACTGACCTTGACACTTCTTGTGGGGTCGTAGAAGAGCGCAAAGCTTCGCTGCACGTCCTCGATGGTAACCTCTGGCCCGTTCCTCTTCTTGCGTATTAGGTCAGAAGTCGTGATGAGGTTGCTCGCGTATCGCAATCCGGTCTCCTGCCCAATCTTTGTGAGCAGCGCCAAAGCATCCGGAGACACATCGACCTCCTCCTCTTGCGCTCGTATCGAAATGATCTGCTGCATTTCCTCCGCGTTGTATGCGTGGGTGCTGACAATGACCACACGATCTAAGAAGTCGAGTGGCAGTCCGTGTGGTGACCTGTAGTCGGTTCCCCGTATCTGTGTGTTTCCCCTGTTGCTAGCCATGATGACGATCGGTGCCAGCTCGTCCTCAAGCGCGCGGTTGACAAACGAGAAGCATTCAATGTCGAGCATGTGGACCTCGTCGATGAAAAGCACACCCGGCACGATAGTCGCCTTGCCCTCCTCTTTCCACTCTGCGACCTTGGTGTTGATCTGGTCTCGCACCTCGCTGCGGATCTCGCCTGTGTCACCAGAGAAGAGCGCTAGGAAGCCCTGGGTCCTCGAGTTGATCACATCAATCTCGTGCAAGCTGACCGTGTGTACCACCTCGCGCCGTTGTTGCAGCTCGCCTTCGGGACATTGTACGAATTTGGTGTCGATGCCCATCGCGTCGTAGTCTCGGGAGCGCGTGTACGAGCGGCCGAGCTTGGTGATCTTGCCCGAGGCCTTGTCGATGGAGATGATGTCGCCGGCCATGACCTTTTCCTTGGTCATTGCGTCGATCATCTTGGTGCCCATGTCGTAGACTGTCTCCATGTCGGTCGTCTTGATGGTGAGTTTACCCTGCTTGTTGCTCTAATCACAGTCAGTATCGCTCCGTTGCGCAGCCGACCTCGTACTCACGCCTGTGACGCTGCGGTCAATCTGTATCTCGACCACCTCGCCCTCAATGACCTCGCTCTCCTCTGTTATCCGCACGCCAATCGACTTTCGGAAGGCCTGTGTGAGCGCCTCGGTCTTGGACATCTCCAGCGAGAAGATCTCGGACGAGGCGAGCATGGTGAAGGGCACGTCGGGGCCCAGCGACTGCGCCATTCCCATTGCGATGGCCGTCTTTCCTGTGCTGGGCGGGCCTGCAATCAGGACTGCGCGACCGGCAATCTTGCCATCTCGTGCCATCTTCAGTATCACGGCTGCCGCCTTACGCGCCTTCTCCTGGCCGACGAGGCCCTGCGACGACACCTTGGGCTCGAGCGTGTCATCATCGACGCCGAGACCGCGAATGTGAGAATGCGCCGCAATGAGATTCAGGCCGCGGAGCTCCTTGCTCTCGGCGATGGTGGTGATGGGCTGCGTGTCGTTAGTCACATGATCTCCAAGTCACGCCCTTCACTTACCATGGCCATGATGATGTGCGGTGTGGTAATTTAGGCGGCGGTATGCGACAGCGACATTTCGCGGACGCGCAGAGGAAGCTCCAGTTAAGACGCACGGGCCCGCTTATCGGCCGTTTGCTATTTAGTTCCATTGGGCGCGTCGACGCGACTGCCCCCTCGACCCTTGGAACGACCGCCTCCCCGACCTATCACTTGCCAGCTGGCCGTAATCCCCAAGGCAGCTAGCAAATTCCCTGCGCACTATTTAAACTCTCCAATTTTCTTTCTTTATCCTGTTTCTCCTTTTCCTCAAGCCATCGCGCTGCTCCTGCCCTCAATCTCATTGGTTGCGTGCAGTAGCGGCTCCCGCGCTCGACCCTCTCACCTCACCTCGTACACCGCGAGATGTCTGGCCGACCCCAAGTCCCCAGCATCTCAACAAGTGTTGGCAATCGCGCCTTCACTGACAGGCATGTTGTCCCCTGCCCCTCACTCCCATCCGTCTACGCAGTCTTGCCACTGCCCCTCTCACCCACGGTCCGTCATTCTAGCTCAGAGGACAAAAAGCAAGCACTTGAGCTGGCTACATTCATTACCCCACCAAGAGTGCACTTCGCATAGCGCGTTGAAATCACAGACATCAGGCTCTCGCCGTCTTATCTCCTGCGCTTGCTATCTGAGACACGCTACGATGAAGCTCGCGTTCTCTCAGTTGCACTCAAAATACCAAGATAGTCCTGGAGGCATTTGTTACGCCTGTCTTAAAGCTGCAACACTCACTGTCTCTGACTCCAGGACATATTCTGGTATTCGGAGGACAATGTAGCAACACGAACTTCATCGTAGGGGGACCGTGCAGAGGCACCTTCACCTGCCAAGACCCCAGTCCGGTGTAGTGTATATACTAACACATGGTATAGTCCACGTACTCAAACCCCAACTGCATACTCGCCCGCGCTCAGCGATTCAATGAGCTCGCGCGTTTGGAAACGTCCGCTGGAGCCTCAAGCCCGTGGCGAGAGCCCTCCAGACAAGCGAAGTCGTCCGCCAGACTCGCGGTCGGCGTTACAAGATAGGGTCAGATATAAATCCCTCACTCCAATAATGTTTGTTGACATATAATAGTACGCCAACTCAGCAGTCTCCAGGATCCCGAGCCCTCCAGCATCTAGAAAGAACTCTTTTGCTGGATTAATCAATGTACCTACCGGCCCGAGACTAGCTTCTGACTACCGCAGGCCGCGTCAGAATGTGCGAGTTCTTTCACCCAGTAGTTTAAGCAGTGGAGCGTCGACGCCTACGCATCATGCCCCTCCTGCACCTTCGATGCTGCCAACACCAGATCCAAGTGTCCTTCACCAACAGGATGTGACTAGTGCCCCCACGAGCAATACCCCCTTCACCATGCACTCTTTACGCAAGCTGAAAGATAGGAAGAGAGCTCTTGCGCAGCAGACTACCATCACTGTCAGCACGTCCGTTGACGTTAAGCTCAAGACTCAGGCATTGGACATTGCGAACCTTAAGAAGGAGCGTGATGATATCAAGAGGGAGCTACTTGAACTTAACAAGACGCGAGAGGAGGAGCATAATGGTCTCACGAACCGGCTGGTGCAGGTGGAGGGATTGTCTACACGCGTTGATAGCCTCACGAACAAAACAGAGACCCTCAACATTGTCAACGCAGCCGCCAAGCCTTTAGCAACACGATTAGAAGCACTAGAGGTTTCGGCTGCCGAACTTCCAAGCTTACGGCAGGAGTTGCAGGACCTGAAAACTGTGCCAGAACGCTTAGCTGCAGTAGAGAGCAAGCGAACTACTCATCAGGCGGGACCAGAGTCCAACGGTTCTAACAACCTAGGGACCTCGCAGCTGAAGCCGCTATCCGACAGGCTCGATGGGCTTAGAACTACCTCTTCACAGCAGGCGAATCTTATTACGGAGCTGAAGATGGCGACAGCACTACAGAAGACTGAGATTGAAAGTCTGAAGACGTGGAAAAACGCGCAGCCTACACCACTATCCGAACACACTGTCAGAGAGCTTATCACGGCCGAGACCAGAGCAACAGCCAAGAACCTAAACGACAAAATCAAGGATGTGAACACCCGGCTTTCCGAACGCATCACCAACCATCAGGACTTGATTCTCGCCTTTCAGACTTTCAAAGAGACCGTTGAGAGTAAAAACTTCTCTGAACAACTCAACGCTTTGAGCGACAAGATCAAAGAAGTTGAGGGAAATGGCGACAGGACGTACGCAAAGGCCAACCGTCTGCAGACGAGAATAGAGGACCTAGAAGACGAACTCCACCCAGACAGTATCGACACTTTGAAGGAAGTGGTAGAGAAGGTCGAGAAGCTCAGAAGCAGAGTGGATAAATACCGTGATGCGCTCGGCGAAGACAGAGAGGAAGTCGAGAATGTGCGAGCGGGCCTGAAGGACCTCCGGGAAGAATCAAGGGGCCTGAAGGAAAAGACAAAGAGTACACAAAAGGATCTCAGCCTCCTCCAAGGAGATTTCGACGAGCTTGAGAAAGACATCGTCAAGTACATTGGACCTATCAAGGGGGACTACGAGAAGACAAACTTCACCCTGTCGCAAAGGATCGCGAACCTGCAGGGCACTGTAACCCAAGCCGAGTTGGGAAGGCTCCCCGCTCGCCTCAGTGAGCTGGATAAATCTGCACGTCTGTCAGAGAAGCTTCTGGGTCGCGTCGATGAACTGGAAAAAGCTCCACGGGGTCCTCACTTTAAGAAGGTCGGGACAACTGTTGCGACTTATTCTCCTGCTCCAATCACTCCGCCTGTGACCAATGCAGATACAGAGGTCTCGAATCTCAAGAAATCGCTGCAAGAGCTTCGCAAAGTTGTGGAAGGCACCGGTGGCTTGACGACCCAGGCTCAGGCAATCTTCGAGCGTCTGAACAGCATGGAAGCCACTCTGGCCAGCGCTCGACCACTCGACAGTGTGGAGCAGAGTGTGGAGACAATAGAGACGACCATGGACAAGACCTCAGTCAAGACGCTGGAAAAGGCAGCAGAAAAGAAGGTCAAAGCTCTGATAACGAGCGAGCGCAAGGCTATCGACAGGGATGTCGAGGAAGTGAACACCCGCCTCTCCCAAGAGATTTCTGATCTTCGCAAACTAACGGAAACTCGTATGGAAGCGATGCAAGCTCTCCGCAATCGATCACGTGAACCCGATTTCGCGGCGTCGTCAGCTGATGCGAGAACAGCGCCGTCCGAGATGAGCGATCTCAACACCATCACAGAGGATATTGAAACGCTGTTCGAGAAACTCGAGACTGCAAATGCCACTATCTCGGCTGTGCAGGACGTCGCCCCCACCCTCTTCAACGAACAATTCGACCCACTCAAGCGCAAAATTGAAGAGCAGCTCAGTACCGTCACTGCCACAATGGAAACCCATGCCCGCAATCTATCAGCTTTGATGGAACAAGTATCGAAGTCTCCTACACAACAGAATGGCTTCGGCCAAGCCCAACAAGCTCAGCTCAATACCATGTTGGCAGAAGTAACGTCATTGAGGACGGACTTTGCGACTCTTCGATCGTCTCTGTCGACCAAGGCCGACTCTGCATCGGTGGAGAAAGACCTGGATACTTTCACCTCCGCAATACGCAACATAGAGAGCCGATACGAGAACATCAGCACTGACACCATGTATCAGGGCATGGTCCGCTGGTTTACCGAAATGTACCCCGGTCTGCCACGACTCCAGGAAGACATCCACCGAGTGCAGAACTGGATAGCGAATCGCGCGAACGTTCTCGACCGCCTGGACCAAGACGCTACTCAACTGCATGGTCTTGTGAACATCGCTCCGCACTTGCACGAGATTGCAAACATCAGTCCGCAATTGAAACAAATGGTCACCGACGCTGCTCAACTCCAGTCCGCTATGCAGGCTCATGGCGAGATGTCGAGTGCGTTGACCAAAATTGATCAAGCTAGCTCTGATGCCACCCTGGCAATCTCCAAGGCTGAGGAGGCAATGCGTGCAGCTAGTAAGGCTGAGCAAGCCAGCTCTGATGCAAGAACCGCGAGCGACAAGGCCGATCAAGCCAGTTCTGATGCAAGAACCGCGAGCGACAAGGCTGAGGAGGTTATGCGTGCAGCTAGCAAGGCCGAGCAAGCCAGCTCTGATGCAAGAAGCGCGAGCGACAAGGCTGAGGAGGTCATGCGTGCAGCTAGCAAGGCCGAGCAAGCCAGCTCTGACGCAAAAACCGCGAGCGACAAGGCCGAGCAAGCCAGCTCTGATGCAAAAACCGCGAGTGACAGGGCCGACCAGATTGAGCAACAGCTTAATGAGCAGATCAAGACGATCGAGAACATCAAGGGCTCAGTGTCTGGATTACAAATTTCTTTGCGGAATCTGCACTCGGCCACATCTCCCTTCGTCAAAGCGGAGGCTCTTGACGCCCTGCAGGCCACTGTCAAGACACTGCAGACCCAAATAGGTCAAGAAAAGCAAGAACGCTTGACCAGCACAGGAGAGCTTCGCACTGCCATCGACGCTGAGCGTACCACACGCGTTGACGAGCAGGCTAAGACCAGAAAGTCCATCCAAGACCTGAGGCAAGCGATCGATGTGGGCAAGATCAGGAAGTCTATTCAAGACCTGAAGCAAGCAATGGATGTGGACAGGGCCACTTTCGCAAAAGCTGACGTAGTGACTGCATTGGAGGGTACACTGCGAGCCTTCCAATCCGAGATCAGCGACACTCAAACAGCAAATTCCGAGGCCATTCAAAACCTGCGTTCAGCATTCGACACCGACTGCAGCAAGCGCGACACTACGGAGGGAAATCTCCAAAAGTCCATCAAGGAGCTGTCTCAGACACCTGCCCGAGCGCCTACCCCAGACAATGTCCCCTTCGATAACTTCAAGCGTGTCGTGGTGGGCAAGCTTGCCTCTGAGAAGAAAGCACGTACAGAATTCGAGGAGAACTTGAAATCATCTTTCGGCATGGTTGAGGGCAAGATCACAGCTCTACGGCAGGATACAGCGAAGTACAACAACGAGGTGAAACGAGTCTCAAGTGACCATGACACCGCAAAGCAAGGGATCTATGACCAGCTCGCCGACATCAACACGGCTGCCGCCGAGTTGCGAGAAGCTTACGACAACACGGTCAAGACTTACATTGAGCCCAACGGCGAGTTCTTCGGCTTGATCGGTACCGCCTTCGTAGTCCTCTCGCAACTCCAACAAGTCGTCGAGAGCCTCAACCAGAACCTTCCAGTCGCTCCGTTGAAACTGGAGTGGGACTACTACCTCCCCAGCCACGGTCAGCCCTCCACCAACGGCGAACCCAGCAACTCCAAAGGAAAGGGCAAGAGCAAGCAGTAAGCTGCCCCCTCATCGCTCGACCAACGTACACAAAGTCCGACAACATTCTTTTTCTGGGCCCTGGGCCCTGGGCCCTTGTCAACCCTTTTACTACTGTGTTACCACCCCCGGCCCGAACAAAAGTGCGCATCGACCTGGCGTTTTTTACCGGCGGATACTGTGAGCATTTTCATGCATGATACCCCCCTATAGCCTGTGGCGGCTCATTTCTTTGTGTCTCGATCTTTGCGCATTGCAAGTCTGATGAAGCTGTTTTCAAAACCTTCTCATTCTGAGCGGTGCCCAAATACTACTGTGTTTACATATGTAAGTCCCATTGAAGTTGGGCGTTTCGATTGTGTGTAAGACCTAGTTATCTAGGCATTTTGTGGATATGGGGGTTTGATGCTAGGTCGTGAACCTGATCGGATGTGTGGAAGGTATGGATGACGGAGGTTACAATGGAGAGAGGCGGCGGTGGATGTGGAAAAGGATGGGAAATGGCGTTTGTAGTGGTAGTGCGAGTGTATGATAAAATGCGGAAAGGTTTAAAGACTGTTGTGCCGGTGCTACGATTGAGCTTGTTTCGTTGTATATTGTACTCCAGCCCGAAGGCATACACCTGCTATGTCGCGCGTTTTGTGTTAGAATAAAGTGTGCAGTATGTCTGATACAAGTTGTCCAGAGAAGGGGGCCTTCTCATGCTTTATACGTGGTGCTGTGCCCCAGGACCGTCCCTTGTGGCGCTTTCTAACCAACCTTGGAACGGACGTGCCCCCTTCTCATCCCTTCCAATTTTTAATGAGCGGATCCAGCCATCGTGTATGTCGTGTGCATTGCGGGAGTCGTAAGTGGCTCGTCGTTTATGGGTCATCGCGATACCATGGGATGTGATGGGACCAGATTTCGTCCCACGGACTGACCTGTGTGCGATGCCATATTCTGGTCGCTATCCACTTTACCCCGTGGTACTGCGATGACGCAGAGCGAGGTCAGCCACTCACAACTTCTGCAATATCGATAACCTAGACAAAAAGATACTCTTACGAATAAGAGAAATCGCAAGTCTTATATACTGTCCAACGGACTAACCTCTAGCTAGAAGTACCAGGGCGTTGATCATCTACCACATATATCCTGCAGTAATCCATATCTCCCCGAAACCCCTCCGTTCAACAGGTCACTACTGCTTCACCCCATCGCACATTGAGAAACTAGCATATCATGACATTATCGATTTTGGCTTCATGAATTCATACAATACAGTACGAATGATACTTTTTCCTCATCGCATCCCGCTCCCTAACCTCCCTTCGTATAGTCAACGCCAATAACACGCAACAGCCCAGCACCCCCCATTATGTATACAGAATCCCAATCCAGTAACAAGAAGGAAGAAGGAAGAGGAACCAAAGTCCAGTCCAACCTCATGGGGTATCAGAATTTGCTTTCAAATCAACCAAATGAAAAGCCACCCGCTAATGTAGACAAATCAATGATAAAAACGCCAACAAGGAATGGGTGTGTGTGTGGATATCGGAATAAAGGTGGATGGGAGTGCGCGAACTCTCATGCAACACCCTTTTCGCACTCTTCTTCTCACTCAGGCCTCTCAAGATTAACCCTCAACCCATACTTCAACCCTTCAATCTCGCAATACTCGGCCAAGAACTTCAGTCCAAACCGCACCGCCTGGATGGGCGTGGTATCGGCGCCCAGCGGCAAAAAGTACGGGCCTGACATCTTCGCACCGCTTAGTTTCTCCGGTTCGCGGGCTAGTCTCGCATTCGACTCCCTTGCTGCATACGTTTTCTTGTACAACGATTGCAGATCCTCAATCGGCAGCGCAATCCGCGCGTCTTGGTAGTGGCGATGCATTTTAATCGTGTGATCAGACAGGAGTGCAAAATTTTCCGCGAGCGAGTTGTGCTGGCGGGACGCTTCAGCCGTAGTACCACCACTATGACCCGTACCATCTTGCGGCGAGTCGTGCGACTTTGGGTTATTGCAGCGCTGGGAGACGTGTGTGCAGATTGCGGCGGCGATTACGGAGCTGAGGTAAGAGCGGAGGCCGTCGAGGTGTTGGAGGTCTTTTGTGCTGCGCGAGTAGGAGAGGCAGAGGGGGAGGAGCGTTTTCCAGGTTTGTTCTACTTCGCCGGGGCGGCCGCGCATGTGGAGGGAGAGGTCTTGGGCGAAGTAGGCGGCCATGTAGGCGCTGGGTGGGTGTTAGTGGGGTTCATATATGTACAGTTGAGGGGTGCGTCTTGAACTTACAGGATACACTCAAGGTTAGTAACTGCAGCCCTCTTTTCGTCCTGTTTTGATATCTTGCCGCTGGTGAGGATCTTGGTGGCTTCATGCTTAAGGGCTCTACCCATTTGATTCCACCTTGCCGAGGTATGGCCCAGCAGCGAGATGTCCGCCTGCTTCTTGTTGTTCAGAGGCGCAGATGTAGGTTTCGCGCCGGCTGGGGTGGCACCAGACCGGCCAGGCGTTGCGTCATTGCTCTCGGAAGACTGAGTTCGTAACATGTTGACTGACTTGAGGTCCTTCTTAGGGGTTGCGTATTGCGTCTGACTGTTTTGGAGAGGGGTAATGGGCCGGTCTTGGGTTGAGCCTGCTCTGGGTCGCTTAGTGGGCGGTACCGCCAATGTCGTCTCCTCTTCCGCGCGCGGCCGCTTCTCAGGAACTTTTGATGGCGTTGTAGTTTGTCGTGCAGCGACCTTGGGTATTGCCTTCTTCTTAATGACAGGCGGATCCGTGACCTTGGGCTGCGTGTCCGCCATAGAAGTTGCCTTGGAGGTATCGCTGCGCTCCTTCTTCTCGGCATTCGCTCGTTTCGATGGTAGGCGGAGAATCTGGCCAACGACAGGCGCCTTGGTCTTTGAGAATTTCAGCTTAACTACCATACTAGAATCTGTTTGTTCGGCTTGACTGACTGGTTCGGGGTTGGGCGATTTGCCGTTGCCGTTGATGGAAACTGAGCGCGCTCGGTTCTCTGACTTTGGTGTACCGTTGGACTGTTGAGATCCGCTGGGTGGCACAGCAAGTGTCTGACTCTTGCGATCTGATGATGACACAGATGCGTCGGAATCTGTGCGCTTCCGCTGTACTTCCATTCTGTCGAGCTCGGCCTGTATGTTGGACGGGAGGGTGGGAGATAAGATATTCGGGAGTCCGTATGGGTTGCCCATTGGTTCGTGTACTGGCGAAAGCAGCGGAGGTAGGCCGTGTGGTGTTGAGTTGGAGGGGTCCGACTTCTCGATCTTGCCCTTGGAACTGGTTGTCTCGCTCTTGGTTGTGGAAGGGGCTCGCGGCCGATTTGAAGAAGGGGCGCCTCTGTCGGCTTTCCGGATGGGATGCTCGTCGCGTGTAGTACCAGAGGATCTGCTACTGTCAGTAATCGAACAAAGTATAGAGCGGTGTACCCACGACTTCGGCGACTTGGGCTCGGTCTTTTGGGACGGCGCAGACAGCTTTTCAGGCTTGCTGGCCCCATTCGCCTGTTTCTTATCCGGCACAGAGCTGGGCGAGCTGATCTTGACGCTGGGAGTGTTGGGACCGTTCGCTTGTTTGACCTTGAAGGCTGAGAGGTTGGGTTTCTTCTTCGCTGGCTGGCCATTCGCGACATGGGAGCGTGGCGGTTCAGGCTCAGGCTCGTCGTCTTCTCCCGCCTGCAGCTCGAAGCAATCCTGACACGGCTCGCGATAGAGATATGTCCTGTACTGCAAGTGCTCCTCCTCCGACTTGAATAGCCTTCCCAATTTCCAGGCGTTGGCTTGTTGTTGTGAGTAGTACCGGTACGGATGTAAGGATGGCGTGGAAAGTATGTATGGTGTGCGCGGGACCGCCGTCTTTATGCGCTTGAAGATGCTGTCGAGGGCGTCGAGCTCGCCTTGGTCGTCGGTGGAAAGCTGCTTGCGCTTGAGGGATCGCGTCGTATCCACGATGGGCTCAGGTTGGTCTGGGCCCGACATGGCGTGTTACCTCAGGGTCTCGAGGATGCAGTCGGTCGCGTATAGCAGCGGTGTCGCGGGCCGACGGCGGTAGGTGCAGTGGAACGACGTGTGGAGGTGGAGGAGCATTAGGTGAGGCGCTCGAGCGGGGATGGGGTGATGGCAGCGCCGTGGACGCGGTGTGAGGGCGGAATCGAGTCGGGACGCGCGTGGACAATAGCAGGGCGACAATCGCTTTCTCTTCACATGGCGTCAGTACAATAGACCCACGTGAGCGCGCATGTGGATAGCGCGGGCTCTCCTCTCTCACTCACCCAGACTACGGGCGCTGCTACCTCTGGTCGATCGGGCGGGAATGGGACATCGCTCGCGCGCCGTATCTATGATAGCGCAGCGACTTGGTGCGTGAGGCCAGAAAAACGGCAATCTCGTGTTTGCGACAGCGCTGCGGTCAAGGGCGACATGTCGAGGTGGACATGGCTTGGCGGGAGGCTTCTCCCGCGCGCTTCAGCCCTGGCTGCCGCCGGAGAGGCCTGCATCGTCCATTGGCTGCTCTTTGCTCCGAAGGCACCACATCACTGGAATACGAAGATCGTCTTGACTACAATCTAGCTTGGGCAGCCTTCTTCAATCGTATACACCACGCGGGAACTCGAGTCTTATTCACTTCAAGCGTTGATTTGTTTCCACGCCGCTGCTCGGGACGTCCCTGTTATTCAGTGGTCCCGAATGATCGGCATGGATGACATCAACGCGATCCGACTCCACGTATCCATGTGTGCATCGCATCACATACATGACCACCGGGCTGCTACCGGGACAACCTACAAAGGGTCCAGCCATGTCTTACTTCTCTCAGTCATGACAGATTTCACGTCGCGCATTCTGTCAAGATTAGTACTATTGATGTTTGGACTAAGGAGGTTGCAGATCCCGTTTCACACCATCACCTGCACCACCGGCAGAAGGAAGCACGTGTCGGCGATAATTCCAAAGTCTGATTCCCGAACCAAATGTACTTCATGGCATTAATTAGAGTTTCTCGATGCAGGTCGTCTCCCGAAGTCTCGCCAAAAGGAACACGGGAACCACGCGGCGGCTTTCGAGGAGTTTGGTAGAGATGGTTTCACCCAAACTAATGCAGTGAAACATAGTCAGCCTTTGTCCTACAGCTCTTCGTCGTCCGTCTCGTCATCGTCGTCGTCGTCCGCCGCTGTTGCTGCAGCTGGAGAGGGCTGTTTCTGTACAGTTTCACTTCGCGTCGTTCTCTTCTGGAAGGGAAGTGCTCGAGGTGGTGGTACACCCTTGCTTGCCGTGGCTTCACTTTTGGAACTCTGTGCAACAGAACTTGCTCTCAGCGTCTCGGATGACCTGCCTCTAGGTTGTGGTGCAGGTTCATCCTCCTCGTCTGTTTCATTGTCGGACTGCTCTGGGGTCATGGGTTCGGGCATTTCCTCGTCATCCTGCTCTTCGACCTTGGCCTGATCGATTTCCATCTGGTCGCTGTCTGCATCTGGAGTTGCCTCTGGCTCCGCTGCTTGTGCGGGAGCCTTGCGCTTCGACGTTCGTGATGCATCTGGTTTGCGAGTCTTGGTGTCTGCTCGGGTCGACTGAACGGCCGCCGCTAGATATTGTCAATATAAAACTACGTCACAACGACGTCTTACTAACCTGTGGGCTTGTCGACTTTTGCGCCAGCTAGCAGACGACTCTGGTCCCGGATCTTCCGCTTCTTCTCGTTTAGCAATTGCATGAACTGCTGGAGCATGGCCGTCTCGGTGTCATTCTTAGTTTTGATGAAGTCATCCAATTGCGCATTGAGTTTGGCGAGGGTGTGCTGCTCGCTCTTGACTTGGTCTTTCAAGTTGACCACCTGCTGCAACGTTTTGGCGTGCGCCATGGCTGATGCCTGCGCCCACTCAAACGGGTTGAACTCAAACTCATCGTCTTCTGGAAGGACAATCTCACCCAACGTGACCTACACACATCAGATGAATTTATCTTGGAGAGCACAATGCTGCCCACCTTGATGTTCCCAACGTCCTGGCGAAAAGAAAGTTCTAGGTTCTTGTTTTTCAGCGTGTAGACCATGCGAACACCGTCCAAGATGTCGGTCTGGCCGATTTCGGGCTGTTGCTGGAGCAGAAAATGAGACACGACGGCGGCCCACTCGTCGTCGCTGCCCTTGAATTTGTGCTTGAGACTGGCGAGATTGCGGTGCGTGACTGGGGCGCGTCAGATGGCGAAACACAGACGTCCTGTGGAGGCTGTCTTACTCGAAGTCACATATGGGGTTTCGCCCTCGCAGCCCACCAATCTGACATCCAGCGGGTGGCTGCCCTGCTGCAGCACTTCGATGACGACGGTCTCGCCGCGGCCATCCGCAGGCTCGACTGGCAAAATATAGCGGCTCGACATCGTGCGATGGTGTGCACAAGCTAGGCGGGACTGCGGGAGGGAGCCCAAGTGGGAAGGTTTGTGATGGTGTGGCCAGGGAGGCTAGTCGCGATAGTGAGAGCGTCCAGGAACAGGTACCGGGCGTTTCACGTGGTAGGGAATCTATTGAAACCGTAACCTGAACCACGTCTACCTGAGACGGCAGGCACGGGAGGTGATATTTGTATGTAGATAGTAGTGTCACTCGCGTGGTGGTGGTGCCCAGGTGGGTGGTGCCGTCGCAGGCAGCACCCGCTGGGGTGAAGGACCACTGAAGGTTAGTGTTTGTTGATGTCCAGGCATCCGCCCGGGACGCGAATCGAGCGCGATCCGCACCAGTCGCGCTGATGGGGGGCAGAAACAAACATGGGTGCTATACAGGGCGCGGTATGTGGCGTGGTATATACATAGGCAGTCTCTGGTTGCATTGTTCCTGCATATGTAGGCTCCCACGACAGCTGTACTTCCAGACACATCTGCATCGCCGTCATCGTCGCCCTTGCTGCAGGGGTGCCGAGTGTGTTATTCGTACCGACACGCGTGGCCTAGCGTGCGGGCCAGCCTGCAGACCGGCCTTTGTCTACTTACCGCCTTTGTGCTTCGCGTAGCCCTGCAGGAACCTGCAAGCGGTGCCAGACGACCCTCCAAGGCCCACAGCCCAACCACCTCAGTACCTCGCGCGAAGATCCTGCACACCCACCTTACACCGCACCTGCGATACCCGCGCGACAGCTCCACCGAGCATGGCGGCCAACAACCGCTCCTTCGCGGCGCGCATCGCCTCCATCACCTCGCAGTCGACCCAGATGGAGACATGGGACGACGGCGACTTCGACGACCGCTCCGACGGCCTCCTGTTCAAGAACTCGACCGTCCACTCACTCTCTTCGCGCATGAGCGTCCGCTCCGAGACCGAATCCAATGACGACTGGCAAATCCTGATTACGCCAGGCGACCAAGCAACCAACACCTCCGCCATCAAGACCGCCGCGAAGCAGGCCGGCATCCCCATTCCCACGAGCGTGCCATCGTCGGCGCTCCTCGGCGGCTCAATCAAGAGGCTGGGCAAGAAGAAGTCGACCAAGAAGATCGAGGTCGACGACGACTGGGGCAACGATCTCGAGCTGCCCACAAACGCGAAGGAAGGACTGAAGCTGAAGGCGCCCAAGCCACGCACGCCGGCGGAAGAGGACGATGACTTCGACTGGGGCGAGGGCTCGCTCGGCATCCGCTTCGCAGGCACGCGACAGGGCACCCGCGGGGCACGCAGCTCGTCTGTGTCCGCCATGAGCCCCAGCCTGGGCAGCATCATGACCATGGAGAGCGAAGACGACGACCTGGGCGGCCTCGTGCTGCCGACCGAGCCCATGGACTTCAGCGCGCGTCTCGACAAGCTCAAGAAGGCCGAGCAACCACCAGCACCACCAGCCGCAGAGCCATCGCTCCTTCCACCGCTGCCATTGCGCGAGCAGTCCCTCACGCCGACGCAGCCCACACAAACCACCTCGATCCCTACCCAGAGGCCGTTCCAATCGCCGCCCCAATCGCCCATTGCTGCACCACTATCTCCTTCCCCCTTCAGCAGCCCCACGCCTATGAGCCCCAAGGCACTGGCACCATCGCCCAAAGCCAAGCCTGTGGTCCAAGAGGAGGACTTCGAGGATGGCTTCGATTTTGGCAATGGCGAGATCCTGGACCGCCAGAAGCTGACGCTCAACAAGAACATTGTCGTCAAGAAGCCCGCGACCAAGACCACCGCCCCACACGCTGCTCGTCCCGCTACTACCATCACCTTCACCGACAGACCCACTACCTCGCGGATACCCAGGCCCCTGCCCTCCATCGCGAGTCGGACCAGGCTAACCCCTGTGTACGAAAGCGGCGCGTCCACTTCCAACTCGACTCGGACCATGCCTACTACTACCAGCGCACAGCTGCTCCGCGCGAAGCGCTCTGCTCCTGTCCTTCGCAACAACAACACTAGTCAGCCACCACGCATGCCATTCCTCCCTGCTGGCGGGGCCTCTTCCCAATCGCACCACGTCATGTCCAAGAGCACTTCGCAAGCCCACCTTCGCCGCGACTCTGACCCTCGCCGACCGCAGTCTCCCTCGATGCGCTCCTACTCGCGCCTGTCTGGCGGAGGCCACATCGAGACGCCTAGTCGTGCTGGGGTGAGACGTGATCAGGCTCCCTCTGCCCTTGCACGTCATCCACCCCCAAAGAAGCTGACACAGCCTCAGCGCAAGCGAAACTTTGGCGACGGCCATGAGCTCGACCTGTTCGATGACTTGCCTACTTCAGCTTCCAAAGAGAAGCAATTCGAAAAGGTGCCGCGCAATGTCGCCAGCAACAAGTCGCTGCGTCACCAGCCGAGCAACTCACGTCTGCCGATGCCTGATCGCATGGCGACGCCTCTGCCCCAGACTCCGCGTAGTCCTCCCAAGATGGACCACACTCCTCGCTTTGCTCGCGACACCGCAGCAAGCAGGAACGCACGTGAGCAGCGCTTGGCAGGTACGAGGTCTCGAGCAGATGCCCCCATCTCCTCCAGGCCCGTTAGCTGGGCTGCCCAAGTGGCCGCTCGTAGCCCTCATACCAGTCCATCTGCTCACAGGAAGAAAGGCTCAGGACAGAAGCCGCAGTTGATCAGGCAGATGACGCAGCCCTACACACAAAGTACAACATCCCACCATTACTTCCCAGCTCCTACTGACCACTATGTAGACGAGAAAGGTATGATTTACAACCCAACTTTGCAACGTTGGGAAGGAAACGAGGAAGCCCTTGTTTCGTTCTCACACCCTAATACTTCCACTACGACCCTCGCCCTGACCACGGCGAGCACGCCTACCTTTGCCCCGCCCGGAAACCAGATGAGCCGCAGCCATGATCGTTCACAATCGATCTCGCACATCGCCCTTTCGTCCATTCATGCCGGCCAAGAAAAGAGGAGCTTCTCGTCGCGAGCGGCCAAGCTGGCCCAGCCCCCAGCGCCCGCCCCAGTACCGTCCCCCCCACGGCCTGCTTTGATCTCCCAGATCTCTGTACCACGCCAAGTCCAGTACGAGGGCCGCATGGTGTTCGATCCTGTCAAGATGACCTGGCTCAAGGCGCCTCGACCATCGAACGACATTGGATCGCCTTCGGAAGTGGATGAAGACGAGGACCCATTCGCCGGCCTCGACGACCTCAAAGATAATGAGAGTGTCGCCGGTGGTAATGGCATGGGCGGTACTGGCACACCTAACCCCGATGACCCAACCTTTGTGGGCGAGGAGTTCGATGTCGGCCCTGGCTTCATCCGGCGACAGAAAGACGAAGAAGCCATCTGGCGACGACGCGTCGAAGGCTGGGTCGGCGGCCTCCGCGATAACGGCGAACACCGAGGCGGCTGGCGATGGGCGATCCGCGACTTCGCCGCCAGTGCCTCTGCTGGCCACCCAACCTTTTAACGACCACGACACCACGACCCCACGACCCCACGACCTTGTACTATATGTGCACGCACACCCATACTCACGCTCACGATTTTATGATTGCATCGCAGATGATTTGGTCTTTCGGCGCATTTTGCTGGACTATGATCCACAAAAGTAATGAGACGTGCCTTGGAATGTCTTTTTGAGATATCCCCCCTGATGAGTGTTATGATGGGCGTGTTTTGGATAACCGCCTCACTCTTACGAACAACGCATTTAACGACCTTTACGATTGCATTACACATGCTTTTTACAGAAAGAGCTTCGCTGCTCGACTCACACGACACACATGACTATACACGATTTCCTTTGTTTATGATCTACGGCGTTTTTGGGTATTGTCTTCAGTACATACGAGAGCATCTAATACTATATCCTTGCTCGCTACGAGACGAAATGAAATTTATTATGTTATCAATGTCCTTGTGTGCTTCTTGGTGATGAGACTGGTCTGCTAGAAGCTGTAAAGGCTACGTCATCTATTCAGGGGCATGAACTAACCATCCGCCCAGAATAAACGACCTAGGAGTCTATTGAATGTCCAAGTTTCGAGTAGCTTCCTTCGCTCGATTACGGTACGGTGGTTTCGGTTCCATCTCAACAATGAGCTCGTGCGATCACGTGTTAGAGACGGAGATGCTGCTCAGGTGCTGCCTTGGGCATGGTCAGAGTCGTAGGAATCTGCAATGCGTTGTAACTGTGTCGAGTTTCGCCTTGATACCGACGTGTACTGCCACCTGCTTAGTTTCGCCCTTGCATGAGGTAGCTCGGTGATGTGGCCGCTACTGGAGGCTTCTTTCGGCCCACGGACGGAGTCATAATAGCGGGGTCGCTGGTCACACGCCCAACGTGACCCACTGCCCGTCACACAATCCTGCCGGCCGTCACCGCTCCTCCCACCCTATATCATGTCGCGCTCCAACGATCCAGGTCACTACTTCCAGACGACGTATGGGCTTCCATCCATCTTCATCCATCTTCCTTTACTTTAGCTGATAGCATGTAGCTCCTCTCTCGAGGAGACAGCTCGCAAGGCTGCCAAGTCCAAGAACACCAAGGGCAACCCCCTCAAGCTCCCCTCCAAGATCCTCGCACTCACCGCGGACCCGCACGATGAGAACAACATCTACGTTGCCGAAGCAGCCGGCAACGTGAAGCGCATCAACATTGAAGTCGGTCAGACCTCCGTTTCTCAGCCGCCTCGTGGCTTCACTTCAGCTATGAGGTCATCGCTGACAGCTCCCCTTGTAGACTAATAAGGTCGCTGCTACCTTCACAGGGCCCGTAGCCCCTCTCACGTCCGTTGCCGTTTCCTCAAAATCCGACACGCTATTTGCGGGGTGCTGGGACAAGTCGATCTGGTCATGGACCCTCTCCACGCGCAAGCCCGCCAAGCGCTTCCAAGGCCATAGCGACTTCGTCAAGGCCGTCATAGCATTCACGCTACACGGCAAAGAGGTCATGGTGTCGGCTTCACAGGATGCCAGCATCATCGTTTGGGACGTCGCCACGAGCTCGAAGCTACATACACTGAAGGGACACACACGAGGGATTCTCGCTCTTGCGCTAGACCCGGCCGACTACGAGCCCAGCAAAGACACTGCTACAGTCTTCAGCGCTGGAAGTGACCGAGAGATCAGACGGTGGACCATCGGGCTGACGTCAGCCTCTGAGGTTGAACCGTCGCCCATCATCGCTCACGAGACAAGCATCGACGCCCTACACTTTGATTCAGACGGCGATCTATGGACAGCTTCAGCAGACAAGACGGCCAAGTGTCTCTCTAGAGGCCGTGAGTGGGCAGAGGATTCGACATTCGAGCACCCTGATTTCGTCCGCGATGTCGCCATCGACGAGGACGGCGGTTGGCTGGTCACCGTATGCAGAGACGAAGAGGTTCGCGTATGGGACAAGAGCAGCGGTAAGCTGCATCACACTTTCAGTGGGCATTTTGAAGAGGTCACTGGCCTTCTTCTGCTAGGCCAACGCGTGATCAGCGTGAGCATTGACGCTACAGTCAGACAGTGGAGCCTCAAGCCTCAAGAGCTTGCCAAGGCCATCCAAGAGGCCGAAGACGAGCGTCTCGGTAAGGAAGAGGACAAGGAACCCGAGCGCAAAGAGGGCATGATGACAGCGGAAGAAGAAGCGGAGCTCGCTGAGCTTCTAGGAGATAGCGATTAGTTTTCGACGAGCGGACCACCGACCGGACTTGTGCTACACCGGATTTCCTGGAATTCGTCGAATGAGCTTGTCCGGTTCAACCGTCCCTCCACCTAGGTAAATTCGAAACGAGACTATAGGCCAAGACAGTCATGATGTACTCCACCACCATCCGGCCAACGGCTTCCAAGGACGAACACGCCTGGCTTTGCGACTACATGGCCTCCGAGCTTCACGGTGATACGAGAAGTACTACGGAGACTGGCCATGCTCACAGCTCAGTTCTAGCAACACTGTTCGTCTGGCCCTGAAACGGGTCGTCCTACGCCGGATGTGGCATCGGTACCATGGTTGGCTTTCCGCACATTCTCTACACAGAGTAGCTTGGTATTCCCCATTTTCTCCTTTTATGATTGATACGTGGTGCTATTTACTGGTGTCTAGCGTCGTGCCAGGCAACCACCACAGGCACACATACACACCTCGATACGTGACACCCCTTCCTTCCAGCAACAGTTTCCTGGCCTTGTTACCCTCACTTCACCGTCTGAGGGATTCTCACACTTCTTTTCCTCCATGCATCACTTTTTTTCGTCGAGCGGCGCTTGCTTCCACCTTTTTATTACGCCATCTCATGCCATCCCGACCACATCGCCGCACCATCGACCACAGTCGCCAGCCGACACCACGATCGATGCCGCGCGATGAGTTCCTCCTTCTCCACTCCCTCCTCCGAGTCCTACGAGTCTTGCAAACACCATTGGTGTAGCGGACAGACAGCCATGAGGGGGACGCACAACCTCACGCCAGGGAGTACTCCCCGCCACCGGTGTCGCCTTCTCAGGTTGTCGCGCGTGGAAGATACCAACAGATAGTGGCCTTAGCGCTGCAGCAGACGTCAACCGTCCGTGGTTCATTGACGCGAGCGCATGCGTCCCCTTCACGGCAGTCCAAGCACATGTAGGAAGTCAAGGCTTCTCTTACTGTTTCTTGTGCGCGTTGTCGACGAGGATCACCGATGACAGGTCCTCCTTGTTGCTGGCAGGGCATGAGTAACCTTACAGAGACTGTCGAGATACCGGTTGGTAAGCTCCTGATGAGCTGAGGCGCGCAGCTTCTGCTCCGGCATGTTTACGGCGACTGCAGTCGACCGCGATTATTATCACCTTTGGTGTCACACGGACAGAGGAGTCTGTTAGTCAAAGGGAGTATTCCCCGCCGCCAGTGTCGTCTTTTCAGATGTACGAGTGTGGAAGAAGCCTGCGATATCGATACTTCCTTGGAAGTCTCCGACAGACCTTACGGTCCATGGCGTTCTTTTGGCTACAGTCACTCCCTCTCTTCAGGTCTAAACATGTGCGCATGTCATGGCCGAGTCGCCCTCAACCGTAAGCTGGGCTGGGTTATGGGTGGGTGGGGGAGGTAGATGGGAGGCGGCTGGGAGGAGGTGGGGAGGAGGTGGAAACACATCCTCTCCTCTTTCTTCTGGCTCCCTCTTCTTCTGCGTCCTCGCATCTACCCACTTCCCAGACTAGCATGACGGGAGGGTGTACTACTGCGATCGCACCTAAGCTCTCCCTTCACGGACAGCCATGGCTTGCTTCGCGCTTTTGTGTCAAACTCTTCGGAGTACTTTTGGTCTACCTCATTTTGTGTTCCCGGTTTTGAGACTGGTTTGCTCCTTGTCCTCCTTCCGTTCCTGCTGGCTCGAGTTTGGCTCCCCTACCGATTCGCTCGCCTTACTGGTTTCAGGTAGAGTATCCTTTCCTCACAGGGTGGGTGGAGCAGGCGGCAGGGACAAGGCGGGGAGAATGTGGAAACACAGTTTCACTCGACCCTCTTCTTGCTGCTTCCTTCACCTGCCCGCCAAAAAATGCTTCGCGATGAGAACCTGTCAGCAAGGGAAACGGTTCGCCGTATCCCCGCCACCAGTGTCACCCTGTTCAGGGAGGCGAGCGTGGAAGATGCCTGCGATATGGAAGTCTTTCTCGGAAGTTCTTCTGATAGACCGCATGGTCCACGGCAATATTGCTTACAGGCACCCTCTACCGCATGTCCCCCGATGTCTTGGCCATTGTGCAAATGGGAAGGTCAGGGAGGTGGGGGGCAGGGGACGGGGAGAAGGTGGAAGCACTTCCTTCCATCCTTCTCATCATCTCGTCTTCTTCTTCTGCTGCCTCCTTCATCTTCCCGGCTGCTGCCTTCCGATTGTCCCGCTCCGAGCTGTTACGTCTTACTTTCGGGTACGCCCGCGCCTTCAGGTACGCCTGCTTCCTTCGGATCTGTCCGCGAGTTCGAGTTTACCTGCGCCGTCTGGATACAGCCTGCTCGTTTACGTCCATCCGTCCATCCTGGGTGGGTGGGGGAGGCGGAGATGAGGAGGTGGGGAGGTGGTGGAAGCACGCCCTCTCCTCCTTCTTCTAGTTCCGCCTTCTACGCCCTCGCATTTCGGACACAGCCCGCTCGCGTACGCCCCTCCCGTTGACCGATTACGTTGCCGACTCGCGGACTTGTACTGCAGGGAACGTTCGCGTAACCCCGTCGCCAGTGGCACTCTTTTTAGAGGTTGCCGAGTGCGGAAGATGCCAACAGATATTGAGTCCTCCCGGCCTCTGCTCTTGTCTGGAGCAGATGGTTGGGGTTCTCTGACAGACCGCAATGGTCCCTGGCTCAATTTGCATACAAGCACCCGCCTCCCTTCGGAGGACAGTTTCTGTCCTCGCGAATGGGCTGTCGCCGCATGTGTGCGACGGCCTCTTCGTTGGGTGTTCCCGTCCATGCGTGGACTGTCGACGACAACTGTATACCCATGG